AATTTTCATGCATTGCTGGTGGGGATGTTAAATGATACAATGACTTTGGAAAAGTTTAGCAGGTTTTTTAAAAGTTAAAAGTACACCTACCATATGAATCTACCGTTCCACGCTTGTGTATTTTCCCAAGAGAAAAAAAAGCATACGTCTATACAAAGACTCATGCATGAATATTCATAGAAGTCTTATTTTTCAGAGCCTAAACCTGGAAATAATCTAAATGTCAGTCAACAGACAAAGGATTGTCTTAGTCTGTTGTGTGCTGCTCTAAAAGAATATCTGAGGCTGGGTAATTTGAAAAGAAAAGAGGTTTATTTGGCTCATGAATCCGTAGGCTGTACAAGAAGCATGGTGTCAGCATCTGCTTGGTTTCTGGAGGATCTCAGACTGCTTCCACTAATGGTGGAAGGAGCAGGAATGTGCAGATATCACAGGGTGACAGAGGAAGCAAGGAGACAACGCAGGGAGGTGCCAGACTCCTTTTAACAATCAGCTTATTGAGAACTCACCCCCAAGGGAGGAGGATGTTAATCTATGCATGAGGGATCCACCCCCATGACCCAAACACCTCCCATTAGAACTCCCTCTAACACTAGAGATCAAAGTTCAACATGAGATTTGATGGGGACAAACAAACCATATCCAATCTGTAGAAGGGATAGACAAATTGGTACCTCCAATACAATGGGAAATTATTCTGCAATAATAATGAGTTATCGATATACACTACAACATAGATAAATTTCAAAACTATTTTTCTAAGTGAAAGGAACCAGTAAAAAAGGGTACATTCTGTATGTCTCCGTTTATAAAAATCTCCAGGAAATGCTTGAGGGGTGGGGGCAGGTGGGGAGAGGCAGGTGGGGGAATTCCTAAGGCGCATGAGTAACTTTTGAGGGTGGTAGATAGGCTCATTATCCTGATTGTGGCGGTAGCTTCACATGGTATCAAAACTCATCAACTTGTATACTTTAAATGTGTCAATTATGTCTTAGTAAAGCTGAAAGAGAGAGAAAGAAAGGAGACGCAAAACAAAAAGTTTTGAGATGTAATTTCTTACCTATTAGAGTGGTAAAAAAATTAACCTTTTTCCCAGAACAGCAACAAATCTTTTATTTAAATATAGGTACACATACAATTCTATATTGTTCTCATCTTAACAATAAAGAGTGATATCTCCTTTAAATCACTTATTTAAAACACAAATGACATATTGATAACATTGATTCATTAACATTTTGAAAGTTTGTTCATCAAAGGAAAGAATCTTTTGAAAGTCATCTTAGAATGTTAAAATTTATAGATACCAGAAATATGGCCAACTGTATGTTTCCAGCAAAACTAATAGCATATTACACTAAGTATTAAAAGAACAACAGAATTTATATAATTTGACACAACTAAGACACTGCTTGCTTTCCCCAACTTAATCAAATATAACATCTTTTAGCTACTTTAAGGTAACTTTGTAAAACTGAGTTTTTGTATAGTGGGCTATGATTTGATCTTACCAATTAAAAACCAGAAAGTGCTTTCATTATCTTTGGCACTTAAAATCGTGATTCTTTAATAAAGTCATCACTAAATTACTACTTGAAAGTTAAAGGGCTTATGGGATTTTATAATAAGCCTAGTTTTGCACACCGAGTAAAATACTTCATATATATTCTAGAGCTAATGAAGTCACACCCATAGTCTTACTTTTAGATGTGCCACTCCACATAACCAATGACATTATATGTTTTACATTGCTCATTTCTATGCATCTAGATTCTCAGAAATAGTTCAGAGGGAGCAGTCCCGATCCTATTTAGGCCAACCCTTCTTGCAATAGAATTATTATTTCCTAAACAGTTTCAAATAAGATAATCTATATGCACTAGCTATTCTGTCAGAAGATGTTAAAATGCAGCAAAAGCAATAAACAACATTCAAATTCTCCAGCAGGCCCAAGGTATAGATAGGGTTGAGATAAATGGGGACTACCTGGCACCTGAGAGTGAATTTAAGTAAAGTCTTACTAGATTATCCCATCAGGTTCCTGCGACAAAGTAAACACATATTCTTTGATCACTTAACATCCAGAGCTCCTTGAATCTCCCCAAATCTCAATTTCTAAACTGGTAATAATAATAATAGGAAGAAAATTATCAATATAATAATGACGATGCCAGACACCACCCTCATGTGCTGCTCTACAGATTCAGAGGGACAGGGAATTTCAACCACCAGCTACTATGCCTGGAGCTCAGTCTGTTTGTTTTATTTCAAATGATATAGATTGAGAGTCATTTTGATGTCTGAAATTTTGTCCCAGAGATTAGTAGAGCCCAGTCCTTTCTCTAGGAATGCACAATTTACCAACAGAGTTCAAAAGTCAAAGTAGATTCAGAGAATGGTGCACTAAAGGCAAATAAAGAACCACCAAGACACAAAGGCAGAGAGCGCGGGGTTAGTTCTGCTTGGTGGTCAAGAAATCTTCAAAGACTTGAAAAGATTTTCTCATCTCTGGCTTCTCAACCAAAACTAAAAGCAATTATTTAAAAGAGGCAACTGAGATCCACCACCTGCAATTTGGTTCCTCACGATTCACAGCAGAATTCATTCTGCTGAGTTCTGTGCTCTGTGAGTTCCATGACTTAAAAGGGACTGTGTTGTGAAGGGAGGCAGCAGTAATCATGGATATCACTACCACCTTGAGGTCTCTAATCCCAACTCCCTCCAGCTAAATGTATTTCTTTAGAAATATTTTTTAAAAAAATCAGAAACTGAAGAAGAACCAGTTCCTTCAAGCCCCAGGGATCCCAACCTTGCCAAATGTAAATTAGAAGAGGATGGATTTGGAACTCCAGGAAGCTAACTGGAGCCCTGGGTAGAAATCCTAAAGGTAGTAGGTAATTGGCACCTTGTCCTTTTCAGTATAGATACTGCCCACGAGAGGGTTACCTCTAGGGTGCTGGTTGATTAGCATCCTTAAAAGACAGGGCAGTTAAGTAAAGATTGGTGACCTGAAGAGTCCCATGTACCAAATTCAAGGGTCCCCACCAACCAGAGAAAAACTGTTTTCATATGGTCCAGTGAGGGACACTCTTTGGGCAACAGTATCATAAACAGCTCCATTAAATGAAGCAAAACTTCATTATCAGGTTTTCTTGCTTAAAAAAAGCAACATAAGATTAAATTATCACTAGAGTTAGAAAATACATTTTTAATTGAAACCAAACTAATTTGATTTGCCTTTGGCTAATATTTATTCAAGAGAAACTCTCTTTCTGAAAATTATTATACATTTGAGAGCTATGTCCAGTTTGTTTAGGACCAGGTAAAATGAACTACACTGAGAAGAGAGATGTTAACATTTTATGATCAAAAATAATTGCACAGAAGTGAGATTCTAGATATTTAACTCACAAGAGAATCAATTGTTCTTAACTGGTGATAAGGTTTGGATCTGTGTCCCTGTTCAAATCTCATGTTGAATTATAATTTCCAATGTTGGAGGAAGAGGCCTGGTGGAAGCTGATTGGATCATGGAGGCAGTTTCTTGTGAATGGTTTAGTATCATCCCTTGGTGCCTTGGTGCTGTTCTCATGATGGTGAGTTTTCAGGAGATTTGGTTGCTAAAAAGTGTGTAGCATCAGTCCTCTCTCTCTCTCTCTTACTACTCCCACTGTGTGAGATGCCTCGCTAACCCTTTGCTTTCTGCCATAACTGGAAGCTTCCTAAGGCCTCCCCAGAAGCAGAAGCCACTATGCTTCCTTTATAGCCTGCAAAACCACGAGCCAATTAAATACGTTTTCTTTATAAATTACCCAGTCTCAGGTATTTCTTTAGAGTGGTGCGAGAATGAACTAATACAGCTAGTGATGCTGGGATTGCAAGGGAGCGGTAGGCCAGAACTGCTGAATCCAGAAAGAAATAGAGAAATTAAAGAACAAAGTCCCCTGGCCCGCAGGGAAACCCAGTGGAATGCTATCAATTCAAAATAACCATGCTCCTGTACACTCTCAGGCACTTAACCATTTTCACATCCCAAAAATCTTATTTGAAGTAGACTAGTTAAGTCTCATTATCTTCATTCTACAGATGAAAAGTAAAGTTTGGAGAGTTTAAATGACTTGGCTGTCATCACACAGGTTGGAGATGGCAAATTTTGGCCTCATTCCAAGTCTTTTGATTCCTAGTCTGTAATTTTTCTCCATGCTACACTGCCTCTATATTAGAGCTGAAAAGATTATTCCAGAAATATCTCTGGTGGAGTCCAGAGGGTCTTCAACCTGAATCAAAGGAGATTGGGGAAATATAGACAGCTATTTTTTTTCTTTTTAAAGAGAAATCCTCAAACTTACATAAAAGTAGGGAACTGGTATAATAATCTTCTGTGTACCCATCACCCAACTCCAGCACCTCTCAGCAACCCACAGTTTCACTGGAGGCCTAGGGAGGGACCCAGTGGTGCTCAAGTAGAAAGGACCCAACTTTTCCAAGACATAATGGAGCTCATGGTGGAAGAAGTCTTCAAGGGTCAGAGTGACTTGAAAGAGAAGAAAACTAGATATATCTGGAATAGACTGTGATTTAAACCTAAGTCTAGCTAAACCAAATAGTATGTTGTACCCAATGTGTATCATTCATGTGTGAATTCCAGGATTTCCTCATACACAAGCTGACACTTCAAAAAAAAGCCCACGATGTCTATAGTATTGTAGGGCCACAGAGAGCATTGTGGCATTTATTACATGTCAAAATAAGAAAGGCCATGCCACATCATGTCTAACTTTTCCAAAGCTCCAGTAACATCCCATAGTTACCACTCCACTCCACTTTACCTCAATCTTCTACTTGGAAAACAACTTTCTATGTTTTATTTCTAAAATCTTTACCAGTAAAACGTGAAAACTAAACAATATCAAGAAAACGTCAATATTAATTAAAGAAGTTAGTTTCATTACCTACAACGATTTTTTAAATAAAGAATTTATGCAAACTTCATTTCTTACCGATACTTTGTTTTCTTGTTGTGTATCTGACTCTAAACTTCCAGACGTCATGCTGAAATAAAGTAAAAGTTTAGAATTCCAAAATTTTATTTCAGGCACTCATGTGCGCACACACACCCCCGCACCTACATTGAATAGATCATTACACTGTAACATTTAAAGTAAATTTTCTAAAGTATTTCCTCCAAATGTCAATTTCTGGACATTTCTAAAGGAAATAAAAATAGTGGAATGTAAACTTTACTCGCAGAAGATAAAATAGCCTTTAAAGGTTCTCTTGAGAATAAGTACTCTGAACAGTACAATCTGTTCTGAAAACCTGAAAAATCTGGTATTTCAACTGAAAAAAAAAAAAGTGGAGAGAAGAAAGCATAACCTCATAAGAATCAGCAGACGTGGAGAATTCTTTGTCTCCTACACTGTTCTCTCTCTCTCTTCTCTCTCTCTCTGTCTCCTGGATCATTTCCATTAGCTTATAAACATGTTGTTATTTATCATGCCTAGAGCCTTCTTACTGCTTTAGTTTCCACTTGATTATACTAACCTCTTCTGCTTTTCAGGTTACAGAAGAACGATATTCTCACTGTCTCCAATTCCTCCCCTTCTATTTTTCTTTCTTTTTTTCTAAAGCCACTGTAATTCGACTAGTGCCACTACTAGTACCACTCCACAGAAACTGCACTTGTCCAATTCACCAAAGATCTCTGCATTCTTATACCCAGTGATTATTTTTCACAACTCACCTTAACATCTTTTGACATGACTCATCATTCTCTCTTTGAAATACTTTCTTCACTCAGTTCCCAGTACATCCCAGGGCCCTGGAATATTTTTCTCTAAGTCTATCCACTTGGCTTACTCTTCCTTCCTTCTTGTCTTTTCTCAAATGTCACCACTTCAGTGGGACCTACCATATGTATCTTATTTAAAATTTAACCCCTCACCTCATCACCATACTCTTTTCTCTGTAATACTTATCACATTCTAACATGCTATATAGTTTGCTTATTTATTATATTTTTTATGTCATCTCCCAACTGAAAATGTAAACTCCTTGAAGATAGGAAATTTTTTCTGTTCTTTTTGTTACTCTACCCTCAGCCTCTTGAAGAAGGATAGGATGGTTAACAAATATTTGTTGAATAAATAAATGAATTATCTAATAAATCTCATAGATTTAATAGATTCCTTTCTGTTGTTGCCAATCAATAAAACCTTACTTTTTTTTTTTCCCCTGAGACGGAGTCTTGCTCTGTCACTCAGGCTGGAGTACAATGGCACAATCTTGGCTCACTGTCTCCGCTTCCCGGATTCAAGTGTTCCTCATGCCTCAGCCTCCCAAGTAGCTGAGACTACAGGCACCCACCACCACGCCTAGCTAATTTTTGTATTTTTGGTAGAGACAGGGTTTCACCATGTTGGCCAGGATGGTCTTGATCTCTTGACCTCGTGATCCGCCCACCTTGGCCTCCCAAAGTGCTGGGATTACAGGTGTGAGCCACCACGCCCAGCCAATAAAGCCTTACTTTTAAATTCCTAGGTACTTTTATTATTTCTTATACCACTATCTTCCTCATGAATGTATAGTTTTATTTCCATATGTCTGTGCACATTTCTCTCTTTTACTTACTTTTCAAAAAATTTGAAATCATTTACAAATGTTCATAAAGTAATCAGTGACTACTGAATAAAATTAATTAAGTTCTCACTTACTGGAAGGAGACACTGGGGCTCTAAGAGATGTAATTGCTTTTCTCACATGACACCCAGATCAGCAAAAAAACCAGTATTTTGGTACTTTCTACTTGACAACACCTCTTTATCATGAAATGGAAAACAAACCCTTGGTCATCACAGTTGCTGGACAAACCAACAAATGGCTTTAAAGGATCTTAATAAACTGAGCCCTCTAACAAATTTTATCTTCTATCAGTGAAACTCACGAAACTGATGTTTTCCCTCAACTGAACGGCCTAATAGTCCAGAGTGTGTGTTTATCCTTTTCTTAGTTGTTTCCTCCGGCCAGAACACTCATACTCTCTTCTCTGCTTGTTGAAATCTTACATGTCTTCACACCATAACTCAAATGCTGCCTCTCCCTGAAGGCCCTCTGACCCTACCAGTCAGAAGTATTTCTTGCCTTTATATTGCACAAGCAGGTTTTGGGCATCCACCTCTTGCAGCCCTTATTATGGTTCATGATGTATGTGATTATTTCTCTACCTGTGTTTTGCATTTCTCAGTAACACCCTCATAGGGGACAAAGGCTGTGCTTCGTGTATTTTTTATGCTGGGCAAGAAAGTCATTTTCAGTCACTGAATGAAACCAAACAAAACAAAATATGTGAGTGCAATATCCTTATGTGCATACTCAGATGTGCCACAAATGCATCACAGAAAGTACAATTTGAGACTACTTTTAAAAAATAATGCCTGAAACAAAACTGGTGATTTAAAAATGAGAACTTTGGCTGCCTGACAATTATATTTAAAGGTCATGAGTCATGGCCTCAGAGTAACCATGGTAACCCACATACACAGGATAAGTCATGTTGTACAATAATTAAGGGGGGAAGAAAGCTTTAGAAAGCCTATTAGCTTTGAGATAAAGACAACATATAATTAATAAATGTGTTTATGAAGTTTGTTTTTTATTGCATTGTTTTCTTACTTCAGGGTTCACTGGAAACCTGGAAAAACTTCTTTAAATTTCTACTGGCGGGGAGTAATGAGATGACATATCAACCTTGCATAGTTTTTTTCTCAGTGTGTTATAAGAACATTGAAATTTCCTCCTTTAAATGAAATGTCTTTCTATCTGGTTTCTAAACTTTTTACTTCATGCTTTTTATGTCAAATTGGAGGATTAATTAGTCACAATTAGTCTGGGTGAATAAAGGATTTTAATAAAATTGGTGAGAAAATACAGCTATTGAGCACTTAATTTTTATAAGAGAAGATTTCCTGGGAAAATTCTGTTTTGTTCCTTAGATTAATTACATCCAGGGCCTAACTCTCCCTTACTTAGACAAAGTAGGAGCAAGTTTCCATTCATTTTATGTAAACTGTGGAGAAGGTCTGTTTCAAGGGCATGAGAAGAGAAAAGTGGAAGGAAAAGGAGAAGGAAAGGCAAACAAGACACACGGGACCAGTTTGTTCCTGCTTAGAAGTGAAGAAGCTGAACTGAAGTCACCTACAGATCAACACGAATAGTGTGACACTCCCCTGCCTCCTACCTCAAAAGCCCAGCTTTCTACCTGCACAGAACACTCAACTCCACACACCAGGAGTAAAAAACACTAACAATAATTTACAGAGAGAGCAAAGTCCTGCTTTTCACTTAGTTTTTCTGCTGAATGTATACTGGGCTATTCATCTGAAAGTTGTTCATCACAGGGCATTTTCCCTCCATTTGGTAACTTTATGTTCAATTCTCCAATTGCCTACATATTGATATGTTGTCTCTTCAGCTGCTTTGTTCTGGGAAATTAAAAGGAAATGAGTGTTTGCTAAATTTCATTAGCTTTAATAAATGGAAAAAGCCTTACTCCCTCCCATAGATTATTTAATTTTTGAGGCTTATGGAATCCTTTGTGCAAATAAACAACATTTTACATAAAATCTTAGATTTCTGAGTTTCTCACATCATCCACAGACCATAGACCCAAGGTGAAAAGCAAATAAAAACAAGGCTCGCACATTCACATAAGGAAAACATGTTTTAAAACTTAACAAAGCAGGCCAGGCACAGTGACTCATGCCTATCATCCCCGCACTTTGGGAGGCCAAGGTGGGCAGATCACCTGAGGTCAGGAGCTCAAGACCAGCCTGGCCAACATGGTGAAACCCTGTCTCTACAAAAATACAAAAATTAGCCAGGTATGATGGCAGATGCCTGTAATCCCAGCTACTCGGGAGGCTGAAGTGGGAGAATCGCTTGAACCCGGGAGGCAGAAGTTGCAGCGAGCCAAGATTGCTCCATTGCACACCAGCCTGGACAACAGAGTGAGACTCTGTTTCAAAAACAAACAAACAAAATAAAACCGAAAACTTAAAACCAGAACCATGGTTGCATGTGAACATCCCACAAGGATACTGCCTTATAGGATGTAACTCCTGCTACAGAGATGTGGTCAACTCTCACTCAAGATTTAAAAGAAAATTGTAAATGGAAGATATTTCCACATTTGAAAGGGAAATGAGTATGGTGTCAACATGCAAAATTTCTAGTAATTAAATGCAGATCAGTTAGAGAAGTGAACTGTACTTCCATATTTCTAGCCAGCATTGATCTAGATTTTTATGTGGGGAACCTGTAGAGGAGGAATGACCCAGCTTTTTGTGTGTGCATATTTTGGCAAGAGGGTAGTGAAGATGACATTTCATTTCAACTGTAAGAAAGCTGGCTTCAAACCCTCCCCCTTCCCACATCAGTAAAATGGCTGTGGTGGGTGAGTGTGTGATTTTTAGAAGACCAAGTAAGGTACAATTTATTTGTTCAACAAATATTTATTGAACTCCTACTGTGTGTCAGGCCATGCCCTATGATCTGGGAAGACAGCAGCTTTCAAAGAAAGGGGTCACTCTCCAGGAAAGGATAAAAAACTGTCTGTTGTTATTCCCCAGACTTTAAAGAAAGATTTTCTTTGAAGTACTGAGTGAAAGCTACTTTATCCAGGAATTCCCATTAATTATTTTGGGATGAGAGGAGCTGGGAACTCACCTGCTTCTCTCTGGGGTGTCAGACTCTGGGACCACAGATTTCTTGCTATAGCATTGTCCCATCTCAAGCCAGGCCCACTGGGATCCCTTATCCCTGGGACAGACGTCAACAGGCATCATTCCTTAGAGTTTTAGAATCCCTGCTATTGCTCTGCTGTCCCTTGTTGCTAGGCTACCACAATGGCTGTGGAAAAGACAGTTAACTTCCCAAAGAAAAAAATCTCGGTTACAAAGCCGCAGTAACCTCTCAAAACATCTCACAAATCAGATCCAGGCATGAGAATAGGTGAAGAATCACCACATAGTCATCATTTCTCTAAAACTCATTCAAAGTGGAACAGAAACAGTGGTTTTGTGCTCAAACCAAGGCATGTTTACATCCAGAACCAATGCTAAGGAAACAGCCACACTGCTGTCTGAGAGGGGTGCACACCCAGAAATGCATTGGTTTACAGGCAATCAGTAATTTCACCACAAACCAACCCCTTATTGTGATGATCTGCTTTCCCTGGGACCAGAAGACCCCACCTGGCCATATTCTCATGAAAGCTTCTTTCCTAACACAGGATTGTACAAGTGATTCATTGTGCCTGAGTAGCTGGTATTTTGCTCATTGTTCACCTGCAGCCACTGCTCCAACTTCCCTGTCCAAAGACACCACCTACTTTCTCCCAGCCAGTTGCTGCATCTCTTCCTGGATGCCTTTGTAGACCAGGTGAACCTGTATCCACTTCACTTTCCGCTCTGACAGGAAGTACATGTAGGATCCCTGCAGTCGACAGCTAAGAATCACTCCTGGATTTTGGTCTGTATGTGCTGGAGTCACCCAACCTAGTCACACTGTTCATCCTAAAATAAATTGGATTGGCATGACAGCAATGTTTCTAATCACAGAATTTGTTTCTAGGGTTAGAGCATTATAGAGCATACAATAGTAACAGGAATGAATATTAAGGCTTATCTATTAAAGAGTATAATTAGCATTTACTTCTTCAACAAAACTTCAAGTGACCCAGCTCCTCAGTAAAACAACCCTATGAATAAAATTAAGAACTATTGAGCAGTTGTTGTTCTGGATAGAAAAGCCAACACTAAATGGGTAGTTGTGGAAAGACAAGGATTGGGCAATTGGCCTAGCATGTAGTTAGCAGCCTGTTGGGGATCAGAAATCATCTTACCTCTCTATGCTTTGGATTTGTTACTTTAAGAAAGAACCAAATTAACCAGGCATGGTGGTGGGCGCCTGTAGTCCCAGCTACTCGGAAGGCTAAGGCAGGAGAATGGCATGAATCTGGGAGGTGGAGCTTGTAATGAGCTGAGATTGCGCCACTGCACTCCAGCCTGGGCAATAGAGCGATACTCTATCTCAAAAAGAAGAAAAAGAAAGAACCACTTGAACTATTTCTGTCATCCCTTCCAACTCTAACATTTTGTTCTGTTTCTTTAGCTCATCTCATTAAAAGAAAAAAAGACAACCACAGACCCGCAGAGTAGACTACACTTTAGTGCATTTTAGAGGAAATGTCCAGATGTTCACCGTGTAGTTGCAGTCATAATATTTTATAAAAGAAAAGTCATTTCAATAATGGCTGGTGAAAGGCACTGTAGGCACTAATTATTTGTAATGGTTATTAATCTTATCATGCATCTAGCTGATCAAAAAGAGAGGTGGAGAGATATGGCTAGTACAAAAGCAGACTTTCAAAAAGTCCTTGAAAAACAAAGTGACTCTTCCATTCCCATTTCTCCTTTAAAAAAATACTGCATGGGAGGATTTCAGAAAGTGGTGGTGAGGAAATTGGCTGGGTCGTTAAAGGCATATTGACCTACAGAACTCTAAACATGCTAACTAACAAAATTAATGGTATTGTTCTTTTATAATTAAGGAAAAGTACTTATGAAAGTCACTCAAATGATTTTATTTTAAAAAGTTGAGTTGTAGTTTAGAAAAACTACATTCTCCCCCTCTAAATGTAAAGAAAACAAGGAGGTATTATAACAAAACTTCTAGAAATACATATAAATCATTGACACTTCCACCATTAACATTGTTTTAAATCAAAAAAATGCTGTAAGCTTATTGGGGATCTTGTAGATTATTATGTACAATTTAAAAACTTACCCTGTAGCCTATCAAAAATACATCTTTTCTTAGAATCAGAAATCATATAATGCTTATATAACAAGGAAGAATCTTAAGAATATGCATATTTTATATGTTCCACAGCTAGTGCTTATCAGGATGTCTTATCTAACTTAGGTGAGTAAATATCAATAGGATCAGAAAGGAGAATGGAAGGGAGAACATGGCAATGAGAAAAGGGCAAGACAGAAGAGATAATAGATTTACAATGAATTGGTGTGACTGAGGAGAGCAGAGAAAGCTGCAGTGGTCTTCAGAGTCTCTGCTTAGAAAATAGCCCTTCAGCTTCATCTGTCCGCTCACTCTTCTGTTTGTGTGTTTATTTGTTTATTCACCAAATATTTATTGAAAACTCACTGTGCTAGGCAAGGTGCTCAGCACGAATGAAATCGATGCTGTTCCTGCCCTCATGGAGCTCATTATTCTATCACGCTATCATTCTAGTAGCCACTAACGTCTTATTAGAAAAAATTAACGAAGCACGTTTGGGATTCCCAAAAAGCTCTTCTAACTTAACAGATCCCAAGCACTGAAAAAATAAAAAAATAAGTAAATAGAAGCAAACAGGAGCACTTCCTAGGTTTTCCTCCTGAGGAGGTAGAATCTTGTAGAGAAAGATGACCGCCCTTCCCAAAGTTAAGCTGGGAAAGTTCACTGTGTTCTCGTTGTGATGAACACGTGGTGACTGTGCTCATGTCTGCGAGTCTAGGTGAGTGTGTCTGTGCTAGGGGAGGACAAGAGGAAGGGCGAAAGTGACAGAGAAACCAAAGGAACAGCACACAAACAAGTACAGGTCAGGCCATGAGCGACAATAGCCAAAAAGTCTTTCAACTGATAGCAAAGGCTTTCCTCTGTTTCTCTCAAGAATTAGCCAGGTTGCTTGTCATTGTTTTTCTGACCTCTTCCCTGTGTGGCTGATTGCTTGACACAGTGGGTCTAATTATCTCCAGACTCCCAGCCTGTTTTAATGAAGAGGGATGTTTATCTGTATAAGCAGACAGACTTGTCTGTCCCCTTGGTCCTAAAGTTTTTTCTTGGGAAACCTAGGGATGAAACTGACAGCTGTTAATGGATCAGCCAGAATGTAAACTTTTCATTTCTGGCTTGTTTGTGGCAAGAAATAAACATTTCTTCTCCCTCCTTACTGTGCTTTACTGCATTGAGCACTTGTCATTTGGAGATTCCTAGCAGTATTTGATTTTCCTGTGAGAATGGCCTCTCTCCTCTCATAGTTGGTTTTGGACTGACAGTAAATTCAGTTCCCTAGCCCCCGCCAAATAACCTTTGGTGGTGCAGACCCTGTCCAGACAAAGGACTACACAGCGTTGAACTTGGCTCATCAGCAACTGGATCCTGGGTCTTTGAATCTCAAACAGTTAACATAAGAAGGAAAGAAACAGTTGAAGTTCTAGTTATCTGTTTTTTACTTTATCCCACAAATATTTATTAAGGTTCAGTTTTGCCACAGACACTGTTCTGGATGCTTATATGACAGTGATAAGCAGGACAAAGTTGCTGCTGTCATGAATTTCATACTGTAGTTGGTAAAGGGCAATCAAAAAACACAGAAGATAATTACAGACAGACACAAGTGCTATCGAGAAAATAAAACGATGTCATAAGACTAGGACCAGGAGGTGACATAGAGCAGAGATGTGAAAGATGAGAAGAAACCAACTTTGGGGCGCTTGCAGGGAAAAGTGTTGCAGCCAGTGATTCAGTCCTGTCATCACAGAAACATGCTCAAGTAGCACCATTTAAAGACAAACAAACCTCCCTTGACCTCATCTCTTTCTGTGCTCCCTTTCGTGAAAAATTCTTCAGAAGAGTGGCTTATTTTTCCATTCTCTCTTCAATCTCCTCCAATCGAATATTCATAGACTCTGCTGAAACAGCTTTCATTTGGTCACTGCCAACCTCTATCTTGTCCTTAAACAGCAGTATTCTGACCTAAATTTTCCTGTTATAAGTCTTCCTTCTTAGTCTCTGGAGTGATCTTGGTTTCTGCTCATTTCTAAACCTAACTCAGCCTTCTCCTGATTCCATGAGTCCCAGTATGCCAACAATCAATTCCTTTTTTCTCTTCTAGCCAGAATTGCTTCCTATTACTTCCTACGAGTAAATGCCTAGTTCACACACTTAAATTTTTCATTATTCTTGATTTTTACCCAGGAAACAATAGTTCAACTTACAGCACAATCTCTATTCATTCTTTTACTTATATACACTGTTTTCCTTAAAATGTTATACTGTGTTGGTGAGTACCGAATTATGGTTTTCCTACGATTGATTTACTTTTCTTTATAACATTCACTTCTTGAGAGTAGATCATTTATTTGGAAACATTGATCATTGTCTCGTGCCTATCACAATGCAAGCCATTAGAGATAGGCATGGTTCAAAACAGTCATGGTTTCAAGACATATTTGTTAGACTGCTATCCTCACCAAGAAATGTCTTCCAGGTTGTTTCTGCTGTCAGAATGTTTTAAAATATTCTTCATGTCTTTTCTAATGCTTTGCTACTCTAGGTTTTGTGGAATCCAGGTTCTTTATGTCCCTAGTTATGTCTCCAATAACATTTCTTAGAAATTTATTAGCTATAAAATTAAATATAATTTATCTAAATATTTCATTTAAAAATCATTTTCATGTACTTTCAATAAAGAATCTTGTCTCAAATAAGTAAAAACAAACAAGACAGTAGGGAATCCTAAGAAGACATTTCTCAAAAATCATCTTCCAGGATTTTCTCATGGCTTTTTGTCAAATGGATGAAGATGTTTTGATGGCTATTGTACTGTGAAGGATGTTTTCAGCTACAAGTAACAGAAAAGGTGACTAATGGTAGTTAACTCAAAAGGGAATTTGCTGGCTTATGTGACTAGAAAGTCCAGAAGTTAAAGGTACTTCAAGGTTAATCATTGATATTATCAGCGTGTGGTGTCTTTCCATAAACAGTGTGGCTTCTTCTGAGGGCTGGCTTTCCTTGTGGGCATGGAGTGGCTGCCAGAAGAACT